ATGGAAGGAGAAACACAGGCAGAAGAATCTATCAATTGCTGCCCTTCTCTTATTCTACATTAAAACAATAAGGGCAGCATCAAAGGACAGTTGTGCAACAAAGGCAGTAATCTGACTGTCAGAGCCATGCAAATTATGTTGAAATAGTTTTGGGCTGGCTCAAGGATGAGAGGAGTCACATTAATGTGATGGAGGAGGAACATTCAACACAGGCACCCAGACAGACATATGAATTGAATTGTCTGCTAGCTTACTTTAAGCATTTTTCTCACACTTTGATTGACAGAATTCTCTGCTATTCACATATAAGACTGGAATCCAAAATGTTTAATAAATATACATATAAGCAAATTTTGCTCTCTGAATATTATTTTGCCCTTCATCCTAATTAAAAGTACTCAAAATCCTTCCTCCCCCCCCTCTCTCTCTCCACACACACACACAGACACTATACTCCCAGAAGAATGCTATCAAATTCATAGTCTGAAATTTCATTCAAAATGCAAAACCTGTAAAACTTAGGCATGATTGGAGCAGCCATCAAGTCTTCTTCAATAAAAACATTCAGACCCTAGCAAAGTAAATTTAGACCCTAGAAAAATAAAAATAGTCAGACACAAATATTTTTTATTCTCATCTATGCATTGTAACATAGGACAGTTTTACCACAGACATATTCCTGTGAGAACTATGTGCAATTAAAATAGTGAATGGTAATGGAAAGACCTTCACTGCAGCGAACACAGAACTCTAGATGGCCTTCCCTGGCATACTGAATGAAAGTAGGGAATTCCTAGTGGGCAGATGACATTTGCAGCAAAGGGGTAGCATACACTGGGATAACATATACTGCCAAGGACTAGAACTCCTGCAACCCTATACTGCAAACAAATACAAAGCAGCACATGAGCAAGCATGAAGGTACAAGCTTAAGGCTGATCTGTATGATTAGCCAAATGCTATGGAGAATCCTGGTTTCGAGACTTAGACTACAAGAACAAAATGGAAACAGGAGAAAATATAGTTGGCCTATATGTACAAACCAGTAAGCCCAACTCTTTAACCGCATGCCCTTTATGGATTGAGTAACAATGAAATGACTCTGGAAAGTTTCACAACCACTTTCTTGCGGCCATAATGGATTTGTCTGAAAGGAAGAAATGACGTAATTCTATAGAATTTTTAAGGAAGGAAAATCCTATAGCCAGCATTCACTTGTTCCCACACTCTGCTTTACTATATCTTCATATCTCTTTAGACAAGTGTTGGCAAACCTTTTCTGCACCAAGTGCCGAAATGGGAGCACCCGTGCAGGGGAGCACCAGAAAGTGGAAGAGCAGTTCCCTGGTATGCACGTGTACGCTGGGAAGCTGAGCTTCTGGTTTCCGATGTGCATGTGAAGACCAGCTGGAAAACAGAAGCTCAGCTTCCTGATGCACATGCGCACCAGGAAACTGCTCTCCAAGTTTTCAGCACTTCCATGTGTGTGAACACCTGCTGGCCTGTGCACACGTGCAAGCCAGTACCCAGAAGAGCAACGGACAATGGCTGGCATGCCAGGAGAGATGGCTCTGCATGCCACTTCTGGCATGCGTGCCATAGGTTCACCTTCACAGCTTTAGACTGTTAATTGTAGTACAAATATAAACAGCTGAAGTGCACTTGGGATTTTCAAGGCCCAGGACAAAAACACCCAGGAAGATTTTTAAAAGAAGAAGGCTATGCAACTTGCAGCCATATATTCCACAAATCTTTTATTATTATTTTTCCAGGTCCTAAGATTACTGTATGTATATACTGTAAGATTCTTGAATGCTCTTATATATAAGTATCATACATACTGTATATAGCGCTAGCACTGTAGCATTTAGACTTATATACCACTTCATAGTGCTTTACAGCCCTCTCTCTGTTTTCAATCTAGGTCCTCATTTTACTGATCTTGGAAGGGTGGAAGGCTGAGTCAACTTGAACCAGTCAGGATCAAACTCCTGGCTGTGGGCAGAGTCAGCTTGCAGTACCGCATTCTAACCACAGTGCCATCATGGCTCTTATATACAAAAGAGTAACAGTGGAAACTCTTGGACAATGCCATAATTGTTGGCAAGTTCTATCTGGAAGCCAAGCAAATGATACATCAATCAACATATCAAGCATTTGGATAGGCTTAGCCTGTTTTTAATTAGAAGAATCCAGAAATCCTAAAAAATAAAGGGGGAGGAGACCCAGCCTACCCACTTGCTGCCCCATCTAATCCAAGAAACTTCAAGCAAAATCCATCTCCTCCTTAGGAAGCCACGGGTTTAAGGAGTTGGTAGATCTATCCCAAAGATTTAAAAAGGAGTAAAGTCATAAGTCAAGAAAAGCCGGCTCAAAAGGAGTCAGTGTTTCAATCAGTACCAAACAGGGAATAACCAAATCAATCTCATATCTATATCAGAACAAATGTAAATAGCATGAGCTGAAAAGCGTGGCAATAGACGTGTAGACTTTGCATCACTGATTCATATGTGTAAACATGCTATGTTCCCCCTAAAGATGCATTCCTGCTTGAACTGATTGGAAAGCTGTTCCTCCCTTCAGTTTAGGTTAAGGGTGGGCAATTAATTCTCCCAAGAGACTACATGAGAAACTGGGACTGTTGTAGAAGGCTGAACCAATAGGGCCGTGAATGTCTATAGGCATGCACACTTATGTAAATTGGAAAAAAATAGCAATTGCCTTCAAAATAAAAGCTATGCAGTTGTATTGAATGCTTGGCGTACACTTATTTACATTTGATTTCTGATTTCAGATTGATTTCACACAGGCTGGACAGGGACTGCCAAAGGGCCAGATGTGGCCCAAGGGCCATAAAATGCCCAGGTGTGATTTAGGTGAGCAGCTGTCCCATGTATGGTTTCCCCCCCCCCCTCTTTCTTTCCTCCACTGCTCAGATCCCCCCACCTTTTTATTTCTTGAAATAGGCAAAGCTTTTTTTCCTGAAACTTCTTTTAATGACAATTGTATGTTCCCAAGGGCAGAAACTCTGCCTTTACTTGTCTCTTGCATATTCTGGGATACTTAAAAGCAGGATGCACATGGTACCCGAATGCAGGTGTTTGATGGAATATCCTTTACCTAACTATAAAGAAACTAGATGGCTGATTTAGCCTTAAGCAACTCACATGTATCTGTTAAGAGTGACATCTACCTCTGTCTTCAAGAGATCAAGGTGGCTTATAAGGAGATTTGATTTTATCCAAACAACTACTGTGTGAGGCAGAGTGGGAGATAATTAATCCAAAATTTCCATACTTTTTCCATGGCTAAGGACTATCTTGAACCTGGGTCTCGTGGGTTCCATTCTGATACCTTAACTATCACTTTGGCTCTGTTGGTTGTATTTTAGCAATATTAAAAACAAACAGCTTTATCTGGAAATTTTATTCTTCCTATTGCAACTGTAGTAGCAGCAGCAGAATACTTACCTGTTCCATGAGCTAAGCTAATTTATCTGTCAGCAAACAAAGGGAGGTCCTTTTATACTGTTCAAATACCAAATGTAGTTTTTATTCTTCAGAGCACATACAATCAAATCATAGCTTATATCTTTAAGAGAAAAGGTTCAATTTATACGAATGTACCTTTTATAAATTTATGCTGTTTTGCACCTTATTCATGCCTTTAAACAAAGTGTTAACTACTCTTAACTATTGCAACTATGTTTGAAAAAGAGAAAACAAGGTAAATTACAACACTTTTATTCATAAATCTACCTTCCCTCTATAGCAAGGTTCCAAATGGAATTTTAAAAAGGTCACAGCCTACTGTACTTTTTTTAAAAAAAAAAGGCACAACATGTAATAAAACATATGATGGCTACATAGGTAGCAGCTGTATCATTGCATTGCAACCTAGAATGCATGTATTTAGAAGTATTTAGAAGTGATGCAACACTAAAGTTACATATGAATAAGTTCTGAAGCAAATTGTAAATCCTTGAAGAGAATTTATCAATAAGCTACCCTTTTTCTTACCAATCCTGCTCACAAACCAAATTTTTTTTTTGCTAATTACTGGAACTGATGGAAGGAAAAGCATGATCAGCAATAAAGTGGGCCTACTCAACCACAGCGGCAATGGATACGACCTTGGAAAACCTGTAAAGCCAAGATAGAGAGAGAGATGTCATGGGGAAAGCCTATCTATCTGGTGAGATTCCACATCAAAATAATTTTAGGGTGTCAAAGTGACGCCCTGCTGGCCAGATGCATCACACACAGGCCACACCCACCTCAGCTCTGCGAAGGGGAAAACGTCATGAAACGTCATGTGACAGCAACGTGACACGGTGAATTTGACACCCATGAACTAGATGATACAGAATACACCACAGTCAAGACAGGGCGAGAAGGTCCTTGTCTGAAGGCCAGACAAGGGATAATGGATGGAAACTAAACAAGGAGAGATTCAACCTGGAAATAAGGAGAAATTTTCTAACAGTGAGAGCAATCAACCAATAGAACAGCTAAGCTTGCCTTCAGAAGTTGTGGGAGCTTCATCACTGGAAGCTTTCAAGAAGAGACCGGACTGCCATCTGTCAGAAATGGTGTAGGTTCTCCTGCTTGGGCAGGCGGTTGGACTAGATGACCTACAAGATCCCTTCCAACTCAAGGTCATTTACCGCACAGCAAGGCTCTGGGAATTTTTACTGGGGCCTCAAAAGCCCCCTCCACTACTGGCCTTTACATATTGTTAGTAACGCACTACTGTAATTTACATTTTTTTAATAGGTCACCATTCAACTTGCCACTCCCTGCAAAGAGAGGCGCAGCCGCTACGCTACTGTATTGCTGGATACTTAAAACCTCAGGTTTTATCACCGCAGCAGACATTTATGCCAGTACCAACGGGGAACCTCTAAGGCGACCAAGAGAACTGCAGCAAGGACAACGGCATTGGGGAGGTGCCACCCACACAGGTTTACTGCCACTGGAAGCCGAGAGGGCTGCCCACTCCGAGAAAATATCTCCCCTTCCCACCGCCCCCAAGGCTGTTTCGGTTTAGCTCGTGAGAAGAAGCGAAGAGGGGCCCGGCACCGCCCGCGAGCAGCGAGAGGAGGGCCCAAGGTGCGCCCGTCCCCCCGTCCCTCCCCTCCGGCTGGGTAAAGCCCGGGCGGGTCCGGTGGTTTTCGTTGCTACGACCACCTCCAGCGGGATTCAGCGGAGGCCGTCGAGGAGCGCGTGACGCACCTCCTTCCCCCCTCTCTCTCTCCTTCCTTCCCTCCCTCCCTCCGCTCTCTTCTCCCGGAGAACAAAAGAAGAATTCTTTGCACAGGTTTGTGGGCACACAAGTAACCTGAGGTTTGGCAGCCTCCCAGATATTCTCTTGCTCAGGAAACTGCATACCGATTTTTTTTTAAAGTCTCTAAAACAAATCATCTGGTAGGGAAGCCTCTGTCGCTCTAGGAAAGGTGGGGGGGGGGGGAAGGTGAGCCGCAGCGATCCACGGAGGAGAATCCCCCGCGGCCTGGGTTCTCTTATACAGCATTTCATTAATTTCTGGGCCAGTCTTAGTAATAGGTACAAATTAAAGGCAAACGCGAAGTTTTTTGCTGGCTTCCTTCCACCTGCTTTATTTGGCAAAAAAGGGGTGTGACCTTATACAGCTTTATTTGAGCCTCTTGTTGTTCTGATATTGCAAGAGTGCCTCTTTCTCCGAAAATGGAGGCAGTTTCCATTCTTTAAATAATCCTATTGTGCAGTCTCTCCTTTAAACTAGACATTTCCACTTCTGTGTGCTCACAACCCCCTTTCGATTATTACTCTGCCCATACCTGTGTGCGTACATTCTAGGCACACAGGCATGGCTTCTTGGCAGGATAATGGTAATCTCCTTGCCATTTTTGGATTTGTGAAGGCAGCACACCTACTCCGCATTAAGGAACTGGAGCCTGCCTCTTAAATTGATATTTCGTTCAAAGCAGTTGGCTATACCTTTTTTTTTTTCAAGAAGAGAGCCAAAGAGTACCAAAAAATCCCCAATGCCCACATATAAAAGAATGTTATATAGGACCAAAAGTAATGCATATAGAAATTCCAGGGACTTTTCCCTTGAAATCAAAGGGAAATCCTGCAACTCTGGCCCTTTAAGAACTCCTCCCTACCCAATCTTCACATTCTCTGTCTTTCCTCTTGGGCATTTGTTTGGAACCGATACAGGATCTCTCCCGTGGCAGCTCCAACTTGGAACAGCTGGAAGACTACATCCCCAGCTAAGTATCCCCCAGTTGGAATTCAGCTGCCAGCCAATACTCTGGCTTCTCCAACTCCTTTTAGTTTGACCCTCCCACTGTAGGAGTGTGAGAGAGAAACCTTTGCTTGTTTCATTCAGACCAGTTCCCTTGGGCATCATAAGAAATATGCCAGGCTCCCTCCATTAACTAACAGAGACTCTCCCTCTACCACCCTCTGTATGGCAGCTACCTGGGCTGAATTCCCAAGTAGAGTTCTCCAATTTCATCAGTGCCTTATGTTAGGGATCTTCCAAGATAATCTGGTATTGTACACAATGCTCGTTACCTTTCAAAAGCATAACAAACCATAAGCATTAGATATCAGTGTAGCCGGAATATACTGAAAATGAGAATGCAAGTACAACTTTTTTCCTTCGGTATTTGAGAAATAAAAATCACTGGTTACAAGTGTATCACAGATGGACAAGCAAGTGTCATAGCATCAACATTATGTTCTCATGTAATATGATATTGATAGCATAACTTGAAATCTTGCACACAAAAAAGGTTTTCTAGTTGCGACAAACAGGCTGTAAGTGCATTTTTTCCATGTTAGGAGAAAATGAAAAGGCTACATGGACTGTATTTACCCAGACTGGACAACCATAAACAAGGCACTTCCAGGAGCAGCTGTTTGACAATTATTATGATTAAAGTCCAATTGTATTAGCACTTTCTGGGGAGTAAATCACATTTAATTTCCTGGGAATTCCAAGTAAACATGCATAAGATTGTATTGTTTTTCTAAATATTGGAATCAGTAACCCCACCCCCCCACCCCAGAGAATATTTTTTTCAGGATTTTTTTTTCCAAAAAAGGAGACCAAGATGTCAGTTTAATTTATTAGGTCAACATTAATTTCTGCACTCTATAAGGGAAAAAGTGGGGATATCCTGTGCAAACTCTTTCACTCTGACCTCTTGCTGGTAATAACTTACTTGTGTTTCCTACCCTTTGCATATACTTTTATCAGTTTGATGTTTACCAGGAAGTTTTTGTTACAATTTTTTTAAAGACAAGTACTTACCTCACTGCTGATGAGTGGCAGGTAACAGAGAGACACGAAAAGCAGTCCAAAATTCATGCCGACTCCAATCCCCAAAAGTTCCAGACACATTGAAGGAGAGTCTTTTTTTAAAAAAAATAATAAAGAATTAAGATTTCCCCAGTTCAGGCAGTCTTGAGAATGAGGATCTGCCCTTACTGTAATTGACTGTATATCAAGTGTAGAGTTCTTCACTGCCTCATTTCAGTCCCAGTAAACTTTCTCCAAATATATATATATATATATATACTCTTGGGGGGAAATTAACAGTTCCAGAGCAGAGGGACTTGATTGCTAGTCTGCCTTCTCTGTAGAGAAGAAAAAGGTATTTGTAAAAAAAAAAAAATTAGTCATGTCCCCATCAAAATCTTAGCCATCCAAAATCAGTCTCTTCCATCTACATACCCCTAGTAGTGCAGTGCAAGGTCGGTTTCCCTAGATTTGGCAGTTCACATGAAATCAGGTCCTCTTAAAAGATATAAAAAAAAGTCTGCTGGCAAAAGCAAAATGATTTAGACTGTTTCTTCAAAGCATTAAACTTCAACCATTGAAAACCATACAGGGAGAATGAAGATCTTCAAGTCTCTCATTTTTTTCTGATTTGACTTACACTAGCCCTTTGCTTGGAATCATTTGGCTGAGCTTCCCCCGCCAGCCGTCTTTCCAAAGAGCAGTGGTAGCCTTGGTTGAGGAAGAGTTTTGAGGCTTCAGTTGTTATGTTTGCAGACAGGTGAGCAAATGGTTCTTGCTGCAGCAAATGTGTGTGTAAAGTCTTGCAAAACCTCCTAGAATTGCTGCAGTTGCTCTCGCTGATCCTTGCACTCTGTTGCAGCAAGGAAGCAAAAGGTCCGCTCTCTGGTGGAAGCAGACACAGCACCAAGGAGAGAGCAAGTTTGGGTCTCAATTTTAGTCTGCAAGAAAATAAGGTGCTAGTATTACAGTTCCTTCTTTTAAAGGAGACGAGGGGGAGGGAGAGGAGAGGGGGAGGAGACAGGGCTGCCAGGAACTCCTCTCTTGGCTATGAATCAAAGAGGGGAAAAAGAGAATTTAGTCTCAGTAGAATTTTTCAAAATCTTTAGCTAACAAGCACAGTGCGAATGGAGAAACACCTCTGCTTTCTGAAGACAGAACCTGGGAGATTCTGTTCCTTCAGGGCAAAGTGAAAAGGGGGAGGATAGTTCTCAGGCTAGCATTGCTGTGTTGTATTTTTGGCTCCTAATATTCTCTGTTGAAGCCTAGGTACTTGGCGACAAGATTAATACATGTTCTTCTAGCTCTGCTACTTCAGTGAATCTAAAAAGAACGAGCTTGAATATCTTTGATGTGCCTGCAGAAGCAGCTAAAAGAAAGCCAAAAAGATATACATGATATTAACAAAAGAATCCACCAAAGTTGGCACATGTCATTGCCTTCAGTGCTGGAAGGCAATTTGTTGTTATAGTAATAATTTCCAGAATGTAATAAACATCCAAGCTTCGGAAAATTGGAGACATTTACTGAGGGAAGTTGGGGTAATTAGTTGTTAAATGAAAACAAAACAAGAGTCAACATTTTCTATTAAAATAAAAAAATAGTCCATCGTGGTTATGGAAACTACATTTGATGTTATTTCTTTTCTACTCACTTTCCAAATCCCTGCTCAAGAGGATTAATTCAGTTTACACACGTTAAGCCCTAATAGGGGTTTATTTTGGCTTACGATACTATATATTATGAGAATCCAGACAGTAGCTATCCATTTGCAAACCAAAGTGATTCATTATGTTATGGGAAAGGAGCCAATGGTGGCTTACTTAAACCACAGATTAAACCACTATATGTGAACTTGGTCATAAAAAGCCATTGTAGACGCTGTTCTTATAACGTAATGCTGGTCATGATCTGTGCATCTAAATTTCCTCTGGTAAATTGCTAAGATCCTTTTCTGCTGTGTCTAGTTATGTGATATTCCCCAAGAATAATTTGTTACACTGCAAGTAAATACATTGAATAAATAAATTCAATGCCTTTTTGCAAAATTGAGGCTTTCCTTGATCTATGATCTAACTTAGTATTGTTTGCTGCAACAGCTGCTGCTCATGCAGAACTCTCTCTAAGTGCATCTGTTCAGACTCTTTAAACTCAGAGTTTCCAGGGTGGGGGATTCCACATACAGCATCTCCCCCCCCTCTCTCTCTCCCCCTCCCCCCCTCCCTCCCTCCCTCCCCCTCCCTCCCTTCCTCTATCTATCTATCTATCTATCTATCTATCTATCTATCTATCTATCTAGCTATCTATCTCTATCTGCTGTACTGTTGGTCTCTGGCCATTC